TGAGTTCAAATAATTTTGTTTTAATTGACCGAAAAAAACATTCACATAAATACGTTGAGACTAAGTTATTTACTCTTTATATTAATCTTAATTTAAGAAAAATGTGAGGATTTTTGAGTTAAATAAAAATAGATGATGTGGTGGGGACTCAAATTTAGTTGTTGTTAAGCATTATTGATAACAAATATCCCATAAATCACACCGCACAATCAAATCCCGCCACCTACAGCTACTACCGACCTCACCCGATGTCACCCTCCCGCCACGTAAGTTCAAGGACTATTTCTCCTAAAAACACTTAAAATTATTTATAAATATTTGTGTTTTTATTTAGGAGATTTTGACATTAGGCTAGGCTTCACATTAGTATTGTCTCATTAAATTTGCGCGCAATTAGAATGAACGTTTTTCAAAGACTCCCGTGAAGAGCGGCTTCTCTGCTCACATGATCACATTCACACACATCGCCGCCTTCCTTCAATGCACTTTACAATTCACAACACTACAAGCCAGCCCAGACAAACCCACCGAAATCGTCTCCCCATCTCGATTCTCACCCACCTCGACCCGAATCTTCAAATTCAACCCAATTTTAAACGTAAATCATACAGCCCAATCAGATCCCGCCACGTACATCACAAGAAAGCCCCGTGGCCACTGCCTACCTCACCCGATCCTCACCCCTCCCACACCAAACAAATCGGATCGAGCTTTGTTTCAACTTTCCGAATCGGACCCCACACAAACAAACTCTCCCCTCTTCGTCCTTCTTCCTTATTCACCACACTCCACCTTCACGTAAAAGCCAGCTCAGCTGCCTCCCTCTAAACCCCCACTTCCACCTTCATCTTCATTTTCTCTTCATCCAAACACACACTTTTTCAACCCAAAAAAAAAAAAATTAATAATAATAATCTCCTTCTCTCCTTCCATTTTCCATTTTTTTTGTTTCTGGGTATTTAATTTTCATGCACGTAAGTAAGAAAGCAGTAATTCATGGATGCAGAAAAACCCAGCATACTGGGTAGCTCCATCAAACCCACATGGGCATCTCTGCTCCTCCTCTTCACCGTCATGCTTGTCCTTTCCTACCAAACATTCTCAACCATGGCGGGTCTTCCCACATGGGTCGGGTCGGTTTGGCCCGCCGCAGGATCCCATACCCGTTCGGATCATCACCCGAGCACCTGTTCCGGGTTCTTCGGGGGCGTCCCCAAGAGGAAGGTGGTGATGTCGATCGAGGCCTTTGGCGGGGTCGGCGACGGGGCCACCTCCAACACCGAAGCGTTTCGGAGGGCGATTCTCCACATGCAGCGTTTCGGGGAGAGTGGTGGGGCTCAGTTGAACGTTCCTAAGGGGAGATGGTTGACGGGCAGTTTTAACCTCACCAGTAATTTCACGCTTTTTCTTGAAGAGGGCGCTGTAATTCTGGGCTCCCAGGTGAATAAAATAATCTATCTATTCTATTTTCTTTATTTTATTCAATACTTTTTTCTTGTTTGTTTGTTTGTTTTCCCTATAAAATGATTAATTTTCGTTAAGGTTTAGGAAATGGTTTTCTTGTTTGTTTGGTTGTTTGTAAAGACGGGTAGCATATGTGGGTTAGGCCGGCCGGCCACGGGTGTGCCCTCTTCTGCACACAAGTTCGAATTCCCTTCCTATAAATTAGGTTAATTTACAGTAAGATTATAACTTTAGGGTAAGTTATTTAAAGGTTTATTTTTTAATTCTGGGTTGAAATGGGTAAAATTGAAACTCAATCCTATATGAAAACAACCCAAGAAAGTAAGCAAAACAGAAAATTACTGTGGAGATGGTGTTTTACTTTTCTTTGTTTGCTGTTGTAATGATGGCATAGATTAGGAGACTCATTACAAATGGAGGTCACAGTTATCATGTTCATATTACTTTTGAAGCATCTTCTATTAACAAAGGGATTGAGAAAGTTCACGGGTGCCTAGAGGGACCACCCCACCCACCCAAAAATGTTTAATTCAAGTTCAACGGCATGATTCTCTTCCCTATATAATATATTGCCTCTTTTGTACTTTCTTTTGTTTTTCTGGGGTTCTGCCTTGTTTTGTTACTTTCTTCATCTTTCAGGCAAATGAGATGATTTGATTTTTGCCCTTTTATTTATAGGATCCGAAGCAATGGCCTATTATTGAGCCATTGCCTTCTTATGGAAGAGGAAGAGAGAGGTTAGGAGGAAGACATATAAGCCTTATTCATGGGGATGGTCTTACAAATGTTGTCATTACAGGTACCAAAATTATTCATTTTCTTCCCCATGGCTTTTGCTTTCTCCCCTTTTAAGTCATCAATGGTAATCAAAATGAAGTTGAGAATGATGGATATCAAATAAGTGCATATATAGTGACTGAGACCAAAAAAGTACATTTATTTAATGAATGATTAACCAATAACCAGAGCATATTATATTCTTTGAATGTGATTTAAACCTGCCTTTTATTATTCTTTAAATGGGCACATGATATTCACATGCAGTGGTCTCTCCATGTCCCTGATCTAGAAGACTGAATTGTCATACCAATTTTCAGATTTATTAGAATGAACCAACTAGTGCCACCAGTCTTTAATTTAAAATTTGATGGATTATCTAAATATGGTGGACATAAAACCACCATCAAGGCGGTATTTTCAGATTTTTTAATTTTTAATTTTTAATTTTAATTTTAATTTTAATTTTTTGGTGGTGCCACTAATAGGTGTCCAAAATCTTTTGTGATGTCTTTTATACATAAAAAATTTGTGAACTATACCTAAGATACTCTTGTTAAGTTTGTTATCTTTCTGGAGGCATTGAGTCAATAATTATTTGGAGCCTTTCAGGTAATAACGGGACAATTGACGGGCAGGGGAAAATGTGGTGGGAACTATGGTGGAACAGAACACTGGAGCATACCAGAGGTCACCTGCTTGAGCTAATGAACTCTCAAAACATTCTCATCTCTAACCTCACTTTCCTCAATTCTCCTTTTTGGACCATCCATCCTGTTTACTGCAGGTGCACTGCTTTTTCCTGATATATATGTTCTTTCTTTTTGTTTTTTGGAGGGTACATGTTTGCATATCAATTTAAGTTAATGCTAATTCGTAATGTAGTTGGAGCTTAAAACAGTGAGATTTCATTATAGTCAGGAAAAAACGATTAGGATTGTTGTTTTGTGTTTGTTTTCGCCGTCTTCAAATGATCCAGCTACTTTCTAATCTATTTTCTCTCTGATTTGGAAAATTATAATAAAACAGCTCATGATGGAAGATGAAAAAAGGGGCTCGTTTGCATTGCATTTTAGATCCTTTTTATTTTTAATTAAGGGTTGATAAACTATCTTCCCATCTAATGTCAGAGGCATACTTTGAGCCCAATTTCATTTATCTTCGTTCTATGCGTAAAAAAATAAAAATTAATCGTCCGCTCATAGTTCTGTGTTTGTTTCAGTAATGTTGTTATCAAGGACATGACGATCTTGGCTCCTCTGAATGCTCCTAATACTGATGGCATAGACCCGGGTATGCTCCTCTTCTGTCAATTTAACATAACATCTGTTCATCTAAATTAGTAGTTTGAGAAGTTAATCAAGTATATTTTATGTGTATTTAACTTTGTCTATGAATCTTGATTCTATCACACAAAATGATTTATCTAAACTAATCAAAGAAGTTAGCGTAAAGAAATTTATTTGTTTTGCAAATTTAATTTTGTATGTTATGTTTCAGATTCGAGCACTAATGTGTGCATTGAGGACTGTTACATTGAGAGTGGCGACGATCTTGTAGCAGTGAAAAGTGGTTGGGATCACTATGGAATCAAAATGGCTCGTCCAAGCTCAAACATCATAGTAAGAAGAGTTCATGGCACCACTCCAACTTGCTCTGGAGTGGGAATAGGTAGTGAGATGTCTGGTGGGATTTCAAATGTGACCATTGAGGATTTGCATGTTTGGGACTCTGCAGCTGGGGTGCGCATAAAAACGGACAAAGGTAGAGGGGGCTACATAGCAAATATTAGTATAAGTAACATACTGATGGAAAGGGTGAAGGTACCCATAAGGTTTAGTAGAGGGGCCAATGACCACCCAGACAAAGGATGGGATCCCAAAGCTGTTCCCCAAGTAAAGGGAATTTTTATTAGCAACGTGTTCAGTTTGAATTCAACAAAAGCCCCAGAATTGAAGGGCATTGAGGGTGCTTCATTTGAAAGGATATGCTTTAAGAATGTCACAGTACTTGGTCTTGCTCCATCTGCAGCGTGGCATTGTGAATTTGTTTCAGGTTTTGCCAATGAGGTGTTTCCAGCTGCATGTCCTCAGTTGCAGGATGTGGACGCTTTTTGACTGGTGTCTGCAACGTTGAGCGGCTGTGGATGCCTTTAGTTTGTGTTTTTTGGGAAATATGAGGCCCAAGTTTTGAGGTTGGACTTCGATTACTCTTCCACAGTTGGGTGTTCTTTTGGAATCGAACACAAACCATATTACGGGAACAGGCATGATCAGCTAAGGCTTGGCTTTGCAAGTGAGATATGTAGCTGGTGTTCAAGGAGATCTTCTATGACTGCTGTCTGGTGACCTATTCAATTTGCACAATGATGAATTTTTCTTGTGTATTGGATCCATTGTGCACAAGTCTGTTTGGTGATCACCAGAATCTACTGAATGGGTTACCTTATTTCGGGCACTAATTATTTTCATCAAGACTACTTGTTTATTTCAAACAGTTCATTGCCGTGGTGCTACACATACATACTCAGAAAGTACACAGATTATAGTAACCCTCAAAGCCGGAGTGATGAAGCTGAACTTGTATAGAATTGATACACAACAAGTGTAACATTTTTTCTGAACTTATATATTTCATTTCATTCATTGATGAATTTATGTTACGGATCGACAAGATAACTTCTTGTATATTTTAGTTCACGGCTAAATTGAAGATGCCATCTGACTTAGCTGAGTTGTTGTTCATCTTTCAACCAGAAATAGGAAACGGAACAGAAGAGAATACTTATGGATTAAATCACAAGATACAGATGAAAGGATTGAAGCTTTTGAATTAAGAAGAAATTTAGCTACATACATGTTGAGGGTTGCTGAGGAAATTAAGAGATTGGAACCATTTATTTTCTCTTGTTTACCATTTCCAGAATACATTGGAACCACACTTGAACTTGTCCTTGCCTTCGCATTCCAAACTCAGATCTTCAGAGATAAATGGTACTTTCTGCATCCGCCAAATTAATCAAATTAAACAAAACTCAAAGAGAAAATGTAAACTCAACCCAACACCCACTCGAGCTTTGTACCTTTTGCTTGGCAAGATCTTGGCAGCCTGTAAAGTTCTCAGGGAACTTGCATGTCCCAAATTGAACTGTGAATGCTCTTGCAAAGTTTGCACCACTTGTTGCTAGCCTCTTCTTGTCATTCAGTTCCTAAAAGTACAAACAATATACCCCAAAAGTCAATCACTACAATCAAGCATAAGCTTAATTTATGATTAATTTTTTAAAAAAAGAAAATATATAAATTAATTTAATTAATTAATAAGCTACCTTGTTGGCTTTGCTCTTTTCTAGGTAATCATCAATGACCCCAGCATTGGCAAAGGAATTGGAGGCAGCAACAGAAGCTGATGTGAAAGCAGTGGCTGCTAGGAAGAGCAGAGCTGCCCTTCTTCCTTCACTCTTTTGAGAATCAGCAGAAACTCTAGTCTGTTGAGCTCTGATTGCAGGCACCACTTTCTGACCAGCTGCCGCCACAACAGAAGAAGGCATCTTTGCATTGAGTTCAGACATTGCAGTGCCAGAGATGGCATAGTTGCATGCCAACACACTAGAGTTAATCATGGCTGCCATTTCTTCTTCTTCTCACTAATAAGACTTGTACTTGGAGAAAATTTCACAATCTGAAATCAAAGGCTTGTACAAGAACAGAAGAAAGTGGTAGGTATTGTGAGAGGGGTTTGTAATTTTGGGGTTATGGATATTTGATAAGGAGCGATTGTGGTGGGAGTGTGGATAAGGTGAGATTGCCTCACTCCTATTGGCAAACTTTCCACTTCATGCTACTGGTTTGGGACATTGGAGTTAATTTGTGTGGCGGCCTTGTGTTTTGGTCCCACTTAAGAATCCAAACTTGTGCTCTGTTGGCAGTTGTGTTGTGTTTAATTCTCTGGTAATAAAACACCGAGGAAGAAGTAATTAGACAAGTTTTTTCATGGAAAGAAGGTGGGAAATCATAAAATTGTTGAAGCCAAAAATTGGGTCAATGAGATAGGACCCAAAAACACACACAAACACACCAAGAACACGGGCAATAAATCGTGGTTCATCTAAATGGGTTACGTCCATGTTGAGTTGTATGCTTATTTTCACTATAGTAAACGGTTGTTATATTGTACATAGGCTTGAGAGCCTATGAGAAAGTAAAATGAGAGTGAATAATGACTTCGGTTACAAATGAAGTAAGTGTTAAAGTGAAAAACCGGTACTTAGGGGTGGGCAACGGAACCGAAAACAGCAAAAATCGAACCAAGCTGGAAAAAACCAAAAAATACCATGTTGACTAAAAAAGTCAAAATCGAGACAAAATCGATTTCGGTTTATATCAAGAAAAAAGCAATTCAAACTAAACCGGACCGACTTCATGACAACCAAACTCTCCTTCCAACCATAATGACAACCCAAATCTCCTTCCAACCATTATAGTAGCCCAACTCCAAAGCCCATTTTCCAAAACTACCCAACAACATCCCAATTCCCCAAAACCTTAGGGCATGTTTACTAATCAGGAATCAGGTTAAGTAGGAATCAGAGTAACTAGGAATCGGAGTTAATCATTCCAATTAAGTTGTTTACTAACTGTCAGGAATCAAATTGAAAATAAAACGGATTCCTATTAAAACCGTTTACCATTGTGAGGAATCGAAATCAAAACCAGTTTGACTACCAAAATGCCTTTGCAAAACAAATGACAAAGTTGTGTTATCTAAAAATAAACCAAATTTTTTTAAAAAAACTAAGGGTAAATTTCACTTTACTACTCGGAAGTTTCCTGAAATTTAGACTTTACTACACAAAGTTTTTTTGGCCTCAGTCTCATGCCTAAACTTTAATTTTACTACCACTTTCATACTTTCGTTAGTTTGACTGTCACGTTTTTCATTAAATGATGATGTGATATTCATAGCTTCATGTTGACCCACTAAAAAAAAAACTTTGCAACCATATTATAGAAATGTCATAATTTTCGTACGGTTGAAAATAAATGGAGAAGAATTGTTAAGCTTAAAGAAGAGAGAAGAAAGAGACCAACTTGAATAAGAGAATTAAAGCATAAAATAATGGGAGATAAAGAGTTTGGAATCTGAAAAGGATGAAGATGAAGAATTGTGGGAAAGGGTGTTGGGAGGCATAATGATGATAAAAGTCCTTTATGTTTTTAATTTTTTTTCCCTAAAATACTGCTTTAAAAATTATTTTCCTAAAAAAATTGGCATTAAAAATTAAAAATTGAGTTTATTGTGTAGTAGAATGTTGTCCATTGTTGGATAAAATCTAACGGTAGTTGCCCAAGAAATCAGGAGAACGGGATTGATATATTAATTAGATTTACTTTTTATTTATATTTATTTTATTAGTCCAAGTGGCACAAGATGTGTGAGTACAGGTAGAGTTATGAATGCACGTCATCGTTTAATGGAAAGTCAAACTAACGGAGGTATGAAAGTGGTAGCAAAATCAAAGTTCGTGTATGAGACTTAAACGAAAAAATCTTCGTGTAGTAAAGTTTGAATTTCGGGAAACTTCCGGGCACTAAAGTGAAATTTACCCAAAAATTAATAATAAACCAACTATAAAAAAAAAGTAATAATAATAATAATTAAAAAAGTGCTTATAAAAATAAAAATAAAACTGGTACTATTTTTTTTTTTTTTTCATATTAGTATCAGGTATGAAATAGTTTGAAAAAAAATATAAAAAAAAAAAAAAAACTGGTACTATTTTTTTTTTTTTTTTTCATATTAGTATCAGGTATGAAATAGTTTGAAAAAAATTATAAAAAAATAAAAAAAATAAAAAAGTTCACACTAAGGGTGGACTCAGTTTGGGAACCACGATTTTTTCATTCAACCGCAAACCGACTGAAAATTGGAGGTATTTTCATATTTGGGATTGATCCTGGCCCGACAAGGGCTAGTTAACCGTGACTCAGTCAGACCAATGAAGCGGTCAATGTCAACCAAAACCAACATCCACCAAAAATTGAACTTTTTTGGGTCTTTTTAATTGGGTCGTTTTGGGCCATGACTTCTTCGTTTTTTTTCTGGATTTTTCCAAGCTTAATTTGAAGCTTATTTTGAAGCGTTTTAAGCCCAAGCATTTTGCACCCAAAAATTAAACTTTCAATTTATAAGCAAGCATATATCATATAAGCAAGCATTAAACTTCAAATTTTGGCATTCAAATCTAATCCATTTGAGCAAACTTATAAGCAAGCATATAATTTATAACCAAACCAACCAAGCATTTGAAAAATAAGTTACAAGCCAAAAGCAAATAAAATGACAACCCAAATAAGCAAATTTAAACCCAAGTAAACAAAGTTACCATTTCACAATACAAAAGCAAATAAAGTTACAACCCAAAACAAAATGCAATGCAAATTTAATTAAAGTTACAAGCCAAAATAAGAAACACAAAACAAAACATAGGAGAATCACATGGTTGTAGGGAGTGGATTTGAAGGACTTGTTTGTGATTGTGATTGTGATGTAGAGGTAGAACCATGAAGAGTGCGGCCATCTACAAATAAAACAACACAAGTTTAGTATTTATAAAGAACATTAGAATGAAATGTGTTTGAGCAAATTTCCTCCTGGGATAATATATGATGTGGTTTTGGCCAAGGCCCCTCAAATGCCTACGTCAATAAAATGTGCTCAAGGAGATGCAGATTATGCTGAAAGGATGGAGTTTTCCTCTTCGGGGAGAGGAGGTGGTGCGGTGCGACCCGATTCGAAAATAAGGAATATTCCCGAATCATGGTGTGACATACCATAGTCATAAGAATAAAATCTTACAACCATGATATGATGAGAAATAGAGTCACAAATATTCCAAATTTACTTAACAACACAAAATCAGAGTCGCAATAGCTCGTATTTAAATACACACTAAGCTTTTTATCAAATGGTTGACTACTTACAAATATTAATTACAAAAATCAACAACAAAAGCCTAATAGCTTGGTTGAAACCCGCTTCCTCAAACTTCGCCTTGAATCCTACATAATCTATTAGGGTATGAGCATTCTAATGCCTAGTAGAGTATCCTCAAACCCCTCAAGGTCAACCATCACAGTTAATCAAAGTGTCATGCATCAAACAACACAAGATATATAAGTTATGCAATCAAACCAAATAAATAAATTTGCATATGCAGTGATGCCATGAACTCACTCCCTTCTAATCCCACTAATTCATACCTTAGGGCAACAAGCCTGTATTTCCCACGCCATGCGTTTTACCACTGTGGCTCCGAATACCCTAAAATATGAACTAGCGCCTATTCATCCCTTAACCCATTGTTCTTTTATTTACGAATTTCTCAACTTTCACTATTCGTCCCTTAACCCATTGTCCCTGCTCCCATCACCTCAATATATTCAAGTCTTGCTCCCGTCACCTGAATATATTCTACATTTTTTTACTCAGATATATCTAAAACCTTCTCCCACCCCTTAGATATACCTCAAACGACACACACACCCCAAACACCACTGTATTTATGATGCATATGTAATGCAACGCAAACATCATTTATCTCTGTAGAATAATACCACAGATAATAACAATAATATTTCATATTTAATCACATGAATAATAATATTCACCCAACGTCAAATAATATCCACGAAGAAACATCAATAATAATATTCACATAACATCAAATAATATTTACCGAGCAAATCCACAATAATATTCATATTTATAGTACTATATATAAGCACCAAGATTAAAAGTGACATAGCCCAATCATTGGTACATCGGGAAACCCTACCTCAAGTCCAGCTAAATAAAGTACCAAATTTACCCTTCGGAAGTTCTCGGAGTTGTTGAATCTACACTTTTGATCCAATTCCTTAGAGATTTTTTCTTCTCTTCCTCCTATTCTCCCTTCTCTTCCTCACCCAAAATTTCATTTCCTTCATCTCCAATCTTATCTTAGTTTATGCAATTAATATCCTTAGCCTAGACTAGGTGACTCACCTCCAATAGATGAACAACTCATCCAAATTTGAGATTAAAATCAGATTTTTGAAGAGAATGTATAAGAGAAGGGGGGAAGAATGAAGGAAAGATGAAGGTTTGGCTTACACGTTGCCTTCTTCTTCTTTTCATTTTTTTTTTATACTAAAAAATTTAAAACTCATAATTAAGGTTAAATAAATATATTTTATTATTATCTTTTTTAAAAAAAAATCTTTTTTTTTCCTAGGTGTTACATGCAGACGCTAGGAGAGAGAGAGAGAGAGAGAGAGAGAGAGAGAGAGAGAGATGTGACATGAGCCTTTTGTTTTTTCTAGGGTTTTTGGAATTACCCCATGTATGAGTTATGCTTGCCTTTATATAGAGTCTCCATCTTTGGTAGCGTTTGTGGAGAATAATTCCCATTAAGGAGATTTGGTGGAAATCAAATCTTTGATTTAGGGAGATATTCCTATCTTAAATAAGGATAATTGGCTAATTAAATAGGATTTAATTAGCACAATTATTTGACCTAAGGCATATTTCATTTTACACGTGTCACCTTTTGAATGGATGCCGAAAATATGTGATCCCACAAAATAAGCATAAAGAGAGGGCTCTTGACTTAAAAAATGTTATAACAAGCATGAACAACATGAAAATAAACTAATTACTCACAAGTTGTAACCTCTTCCACTTCCTTGTAGAATTCAATCTCATTATCCATGGGTTCCTTGTAAAACGAAAATTCTTATGCCCTAAGCCAATCACAAGAACACACTAATGCTTC